CTGATGAACAGAATGAACTGGTGATTATAATAGAATCAGGGACATAGAAAGGGAATGGACTGACTATTCTTGGGGGGAAGGGGGTGTGGGAGATGCGGGAAGAGACTGGACAAAAATCGTGCACCTATGGATGAGGACAGTGGGTGGGGAGTGAGGGCGGAGGGTGGGGCGGGAACTGGGAGGAGGGGAGTTATGGGGGGAAAAAAGAGGAACGAATGTAATAATCTGAACAATAAAGATTTAATTAAAAAACAAAAACAAAAAACTAATTGTTAAAAACTATGATTTCTACGTGGTTTTTTTTTAAAATCTGGAATTTAGTTCAATTAAAAACCCTGCCTCTAGCTATTCAAAGTAGTGTTTGAAGTTCTTGGGTTTTGATTTATTCTTTTCAATAAACATATTTGGGGAAAGGGGGTAATGGAGAGTTGTTTCACGGGTAATAGAGGGTCAGGTCTGCAAGATGAGAGAGATTGTGAGAACGGCCGAACAATGTGAGTATGCTTAACACCACTGAACCGTGCACTTACAAATGGCCAAGATGGTCAATTTTGTTATGTGTATTTTGTCACAGTTAAAAAAAAGTTTTGGGATGTGTACACAGGTGTATTGTCCAACAGAGGACAGAAGATGAATATGTGTATCTCCTATGTGACCAGTGTTTTTCCACTTTTTCAGTTTATTAGGTTATTTAGTCTTTAAACAACCCGGTCTGCATTACACAGATAAGGAAATAGGTTATTGACCTCAAATGCCAAGGTCACTGGTTAGGAGAGCCCAGGGATCTGACCCAGCTCTGCCTACGGGACGTAGACTTGTGCCCTGCCAGACTTCCCTGACTCTAGAGCCTTGGAGAAGCAAGAGTCATGCACAGCACACCCATGCCATGCGCTTCCTCACCGAGATGCCCACTCGGGGTCCCCAGTCTTGTGAATTGGTTAAGATTTAATGCCGGCAAATTTGGAAAATGTAATGCTTACTTTTAACAGTTCTTCAGGTATGGGGCGCTAGACGATTCGCTGAGAATGACAGAACCCTGCTATGGAAGGGTGTGTATGCAGTTTACCAATCCTCTGAGCTGATGCTGTGTGCATAACCGATGACAACCAAAGCACACTGGGATCTGCTGTGGTGCAGGTGGCAGCTCCAGGCGCTGGGCACCGCTGGTGAACCCTGAGCCTGCAGTGGCTGAAGGCGGGAAGTCCTCTCTGCTGCCAGGGCTCTGTTACTGCGACACCTCCTCCCTGGTCCCTGCAGGCTGGAGGGGGAGTGCGCTCACACACCCCCCCAAGCTGGTCTACTCTCTGCAAGAGCTTCTCTGCATCTGAGCGCAGTCACATCCAGTGTAGAATTTAATGTCCTGGTTTCATTGATGCTGTTTCAGTTACCCCGGGGACTGCTCTCTCTGATTCACTCCTACTCAGCTCTGTGCGATCCCTAGACCTGCTCTTATGTATTTGCTGTAATGTGAGGCTCCTTCTGCCTCCTTTCTCTTTGTGCTGCAGGGGTGAAAAGGGTAGTCTGTAACCTGACCCCACTCCCCTCCAAACAAAGAGAACAACTTTTAGGCTCAGGGCTTCCTGGAGAGTGTTCCACTGGACAGAAGATTTGACAAGTCTGTGTCTCACCATCAGACATGACTTTCTGTTTCTATTCATTTAGGAACAATATTCTACCTGCCAACTAGTTTTCTTCTGTGATGTCATTGTGTATAAATCACTTTACCTCTCTGGGTCCCACTTATTCATTCATGAAAGGAAGGTCCCTTCTGGCCTGAGCATTCCAGGATTGCACTAATTTCCCTCTCTATTCCCAAATCCATCCCCCCTGGGAGCGCTTCTCCTTATTTCAGAGCTCTGGGCAGCATTGACACAGACCCTCCCCTGGCCTCTGCCACCAAGGCCATCAGCACTCTGCCTTCTTGGGGCCACGATGACTGAGCCTTCTGATGGAAGTGGGAGCTGGAGCCTTGTTTCAGGAATTGGCTCAATGACCAAATCAGAGCTCAGGGTAGCCGGATGCAGCTCAGAGTGACTGGTATCATAGGAGTGCCAATCATTCAATGTCCGATGTCCTTATTCAAGTCCTTTATCGAGTCCCTACTTGTAGAATGAGGGTATAATAACATCACAGAAACCTAAACCTGCCTGTGTATAATTTCTGTCTCTGCCAATAATCAGCAGTTCACTTAGACAACGTTTTCTTCAGTTCCAGTTGGCTTTTGAGGAGTAATCTCCTTGCCCCCCCCCCCCAGTGTTAAGAAATATTTTGTCAGCAAATTAAGAATAAAAAGGTATATAAAATGTTCACTATCTCACATTGATGTCTCTCTCTCTCTCTCTCTCTCTCTCTCTCTCTTTCTTCCTCCCTTCCACTCTCTCCAAAAAAATTTCAATGGAAAATATATCCTTGGGTGAGGATTTACAAACAACAACAAAAAACAAAACAAAAAACTCATCTCTGAGGGCCTCTCTGCCACGTGTCAGGCTCTGGGCCAGTGGTTCTCAACCTGTGGGTCGCAACCCCTTTGGAGGTCGAACGACCCTTTCACAGGGGTTGCCTAAGACCATCGGAAAACACATATATAATTGCATATTGTTTTTGTGATTAGTCACTATGCTTTAATTATGCTCAATTTATAACAATGAAAATACATCCTGCATATCAGATATTTACATTACGATTAATAACAGTAGCAAAATTACAGTTATGAAGTAGCAACGAAAATAATTTTATGGTTGAGGGTCACCACCACATGAGGAACTGTATTAAAGGGTCGCGGCATTAGGAAGGTTGAGAACCCCTGCTCTGGGCGAAGCTTGGCGCTAGAGCACTGAGCGGGATGGGCCAGCCCTCTGACCTCACGTAGCTTGCATTTGAGAGGGGGACAATAAACTAACTAATAAATATAGTGAATAATTACAGATTGGGACAAATGCCAGGGAGAAAACAAATAACATGCTATAGCATTAATAGTCAAGCTAGGAATCCCTGAAAAAATAATTTACTTACCCCTTTGGTTTTCTGATGCTCTAATTTGTTTCCCATCGTACCCTCCCTTAGACCAATAGTTCCCTAAATCAAGTTTCAGTAGTCCTCATCAGAAAACAACCAAGTAAATGTGTAAGAGAGCTGCTTTTGTGATTGTAGGTAAACGGGCCTCCTCACTAAACTATCCAACTTAGTATCTTCCTTGCATTTTGGGATTCTTCCAAGCAGGTCATAATTTATTTTTTGAAAATCACAGGGTCTTTTCATTTATATTTTTGAAATATACGTAAGTTACAGTTCAAGACAATGAAAAGGGTGTTAACATTTGAGGTAGTTTCATTCAAATTTGCAATGTTAGTTCTCTAAAATAACAGAAGAGATGAGAAATAAAATCAACCAACATCTAAACTATGGACTATTAGAGAAAGTAATGACATCACCATGGCAAAGACTATCTTGTTCAACTGCCCCCCACCCTGCTGTTCTTCATTCCGGCCTTGTTTTCCAGAGGCCCCATGATTTAGGCTTTCTTACTGCTTGGTGGACACCACGCAAAGCATTTATCCTCCGTGCCTTCGTGTCTCTAGTTTGCCTCATTGGTATGAGTGCTGAGTCGTTTGGATGTGTCAAACCTTTGAAAATGCTATTTCTCTGGGCTCTGTTATTTTTCTGTGCCGTAGAATATGAGTTAGAATTGCTTGTGTATTTCAGTTCTATCTTCAATTTTTGTGGTTGCTGCAAAATAATTAAAAATAATGAGATCTGTATGAATAAAATGCAACAATAAGGCTCCCCACAAAAGCCTGTGCCGAGACCATAAATTATAACTAAGGTTTAAAACAGCCATTCTGGTATGGAGGAAACCAAGGGGCTCTTCTCACGTGAAGAGAGTCAGGAGAGGTTTTCTATATTAATGAGCAGCTCTGCTTTAATTCCATGGGGAGGGACGCTGATGGCATAGGAGGCTGTTATATTGGGTTGCAACATCTGTCACTGGCTCACAGAGCTGTTAATCTTTCATTTCATATTCAGACTTATCAGTATTCATTAAAAACTTTCCATTTGTGCAAGTCCTTCTGGGAAAAAGTGCCCTCTCTTGGAGTCTTGGATATTTTTTTCTTTCTTAAAAAAAAAAGAAAAAGGTTTAATTTTAAACACATTTTTCACCCAGCAGCAGCAGCTGGCGGCGAGAGGTGGGAACTTGCCATCCATGCAGATGACCAAGCAGCCTGTCTCCAGGGGAAGTTTAGTGTTGCTAGGCGAGGGGCTCAAAATTTCAATTTCAATTCGCCAATTTCCATTTTGATTTCTCACCCACAAGAACATGTAGAGGTGGGTGCACATGGCATTCCATTAGCACCGCTGAGGAGGCTCGCGGATTTTTCTCGCGAAGCCCGGATTGAGTGCCTGCATGGTGAGGGTAGCGTCTCAGCGCCTGGCCTACTTGGGAATCCAGGCACACGCGCAATGTCTGAAGGTCTGAAAGGCTTTTCCCTGTGGGGAGAAGACGAATACAGTAGGGATTCTTCCACCAGCCCCACGTTGCAGCTCTGGGTGCATTAAAAATGCAGGAAATAGGCTCTGTGAGCCAATGCTGCTTATTTCACATTTATAAAACGTGAATATTTCTAATGTTACCTGTGGAACAACTACCATATGTTATCATACTCGCTGAGTCAGAGCGGAATTAGTGTACACTGAACTTTTTTCAGGTAGGCAAGGACACTAGAAAAATCTCTCAGCGTTAGTACAAATTGAGCCCCAAACAACCCATATAAAGGAAAAAGCAAATAGTGGGTCTGAGTTAAAGCCATTTTCATTTAGATGGAATTCTAGCAGGCCTTCTGCCTCCAGGGAATGAGAACATAAAGAATAAACTTCTGAAACCTCAAAATCCAAGCAGACCTGCAGTCATGCCGGACAAGGTGGGCAGTGTAGCAAGGGGATCTGGGAGGAGGAAGGTCTGACCTTGGCCCCTGGGTGCCTTCTCTCTGCACCTCCCCTCCAGAGGGGAGCACTTGACCAGGAACCAGAGTCTGTTTTATTCTCTATTTTATTATTTTTCTTTAATAAGTTTTGATTGATTTATTTTAGAGAAAGAGGAAGGGGGAAGGATAGAGGGACAGAAACATCAATGAGAGAGAAACATCATTGACCGGCTGCCTCCTCCTGCACATCCCCTACTGGGGATGCAACCTGGCGACCAGATATCTAACCAGTGACCTCTTGGTTCATGATTGATGCTCAACCGCTGAGCCACACCGGCCGGGAGTGAAGGCTGGATTCTTGGTCTTCTCTCAGAGAACAGGTTTACCTGTCCGACCACAGACTTTAGGCCAGTGGAATTTTTCTAAGTGAAGGATGCAAGCCTGGGAGCCATATCCTGTCTCCTCCCCCACCCTGCACCATTCTCAGAAGTCTGGACCAGTGGCCTGAATCTAGTACCACTAGCATGCCTTGCGTCAGCCTGTTAAGTGACGAGATTGGCCCTCATCTAGGTTTAGTTGCAGCCTACAGCTGAATGTGGCCAAAAAACAAGCAGAAAACACAATGAAGTAAAAAGATAAGAAGTTTGCTTGTGTCTGCATAGATTCCCAACTTCCTTTGCATGGCTTCACCAATACCTAAACTGCCGAGTTCATGTCACTGCCCCGTGATCCTGACTGTGTCTGTGTTGTGTATCGGGGCATCAGTCACCTTGTCTGGACTCTCAGCCTTTGGGAGCCCAAACACACTGTAAGGTGTGGGGCTATCAGCCCAGCAAATTCCCAAGCTCAAATCCGCACGACCAGGGCCAGAGTGCAAGAGGATATTGTCTGCGCACAGAAAAGTATCGGAGAAATTTTTTTTAAACTTTCATTTTGAAATAATTGTAGTATTTGAAAAAATACAAAAATGTACTGTATATCCTTCATCCGAGTCACCAAATTTAGCATCTGACAGAGTCACAATTATGTGAGGACGTATGTACAATGATCAAAATCAGGAAATTAGCATTGATACAGTGCTCCTGTCTAATCTTCAGAAATTCATATTTTCCAGTTGTCCCATTAATGTTCTTTTTATGGCCCAGAATCCAACTACAGATCTCACCTGGCATTTAATTTTCCTATCTCTTTAGCTTCTTTTAACCTGCAATGGTTCCTCATCTTTCTTTGTCTTTCACGAACAGTACCCGCCACTTATTTTGTCAACGATCCCTAAGTTTGGGGTTGTCTGATGTTTCCTGATGATCAGATTCAGGTTGTGCATTTTTGGTGTGTATCTCAAGATCTGAGATTTGTTGAGATTAATGCGAGCAAAGATACCATGCCCATGTTAAAGAAATGACAGAATTGACAAATGAAGCTTTCTTTTAGTATTTCTCTTTACTCTAATATGCTAAAATTGTGGGTCTGGGCCCTTAAAGACAGGATATAGAGCAACATTGCTGCCACAACTGTCATCACTGTGGAGGAGCTGGGACACCCTGGAATATTGTTAGCGTGGTATCTGCTATGCAGAAAATAGCCCATGGACCTGCACCCTGTACCTCTGCTTCATTTAAACATGGGATGCCAATAATAGATCAGAACATGGCATCAAAGGTCCATATTAAACAAGTTTCTGAATTATTCAATAGTGAATATTCAACAACTTTATAGTTTTGGGATTTAGGCAAGACTATTAAGTTTATTATATATTCAAAGCATTTATAGTCTTATCTTAAAACTACTTGATCTGTTTAATACTTAAAGAGTAATATTAAAATTTCTATTGGGATCTATTAAATTCTCATAAGCTTTCTAATAGTTTTGTTGCCTTATATACATTTTTTGCTATGCTAGTGCATGAAGTTTTATGGCTATTAAAGATTTTGTGTGATTTTATCTTTTATTATTTTTAATATTATCTTGTCCCACTTAGATCTTTTTGTTCTTAATCTTGCCATTCTGTTGTATTTTTTATTATTATAAATGTAGAACTTAGGTGAATTTCTTGGGGCAACCAGAGGTTGTTAACTGCCTGGACTACTGTTACACCCAGCCGATTGACAATGTTATCAGCCTTTGATGAGCCTTCCTCAACCCTAAATGGCACTGAGACCCTGGCACAAAACAGAAATCATCTCCTTTGGCTGGAAAATGATGTAGAATTACATGCGCAGGAAAAAGGGGGTTGGCCAGGTTCAGCAACAGCACTTCCTCCCACAGCTTAAGAGTGGTTCTTTATGGAGTCAGAGAGCTGATGAAGCGCCTGTCCTTTGAGCCACTTCCCCTACATGAATTGGCAACAGCTTTGAACAGCTCTGAACTGAGCTAAGAGCCAGTGCCTGTTACTGGCCAGAAGGAAGCCAATAACATATTACTCTTCACTCAGTGGGTCTTTGGGCTCCAAGACCATATTCTCTGTTTTCTAGATTGTCTATTTTTGGTGATGAATGTTATCTTCACATCAATAGTGAATGTGCCAGGACCTAAACTTTGAGCAAGGAGGGTCCGTCATATGTGAAGGTTCTATGGAAGTCAGACATACTGAGTCAGGGGTTTCAAACACATTCCTTTAGAGTCGTTATGACCCTGCTCCTTCTCTCACTCTCCAGTGCCATCAATAATCACATCCTGTAGAGTCCACCTTCAAAATTTATTCAGAGTTCCAGTGCTTCTTCATTACTTTTGTTCCAGCCACTGGTATTTCATACCTAGATTATTGCAGGGACTGGAAACTGATCTCCCTGCTTTCACCAATACCTCTTCCCTTTTAAATGAAAGTCCCAGCATATTGCTTCTTTGCTCGAAATCCTCCAATGGCTTCTCCCTTTGCTCAGAGCAAAAGGCAACGCCCATACAATGGCCCATAGTGGAGTGAGCCTATAATTTATTATACAAACAGGGACAGTTTGAGAGTCAAAGGGAGAGTTATTACAAATGATGCAAGAATAATAGGCATAAACAGGGCTCCTCAGGCAAATGAAAGGTGTGGTCACCCTACCTAGAAAACCTTACATGATCTGTGCCCCCCGATACCTGTCAGCCTTCGTCACCCACCAGAGTCACTCTTACTCTCTGCTCTGCCCAAACAGGCCCCCTTGTTCTTTGAACATGCTGAGTAAGCATGCTCTCATCTCAAGACCTTGGCACTTGCTCTTCCCTTGCGTTAGAATGTTCTTCCCCAGATAAATGCATGTCTTATCCTTTTCTTTCTGTTGGACTCTGCTCAGATGTCCCCACATTAGTGAGATCCTCCCTGACCATCCTATAAATTACAGCAATTCCATTTCCACTCCCCACCTCATGTGCTCCTTATGCCCCACATCCTGCTAAATTTTTCTTTTACTTTATTTACCACTCTCTGTCATGTTAGATATTTATCTTTTACTAGAGGCCTGGTGCATGAAATTCATGCAGGGGGTGGGAGCCGGGGAGGGGGTCCCTAAGCCTGGCCTACACCCTCTCCAACCCGGGATCCCTCTCACAATCTGGAACCACTGGCTCCTAACCACCTCTGCCTGCCTGCCTGATGCCCCTAACTGCTCTCCTCTGCCGGCCTGATCCCCCTAACTGCTTTCCCCTGCTTGCCTGATCCCCCTAACTGCCTAACTGCCACCTTCTCCCTTCTCCCTTCTCCCTTCTCCCATGGTGCTGGCCTTCTCCCTTCTGCCTTCTCACCTTCTCCCTTCTCAAGTGGTGCTGGTCTTCTCCCTTCTCCCACGGCACTGCCTTCTCCCTTCTGCCTTCTCCTGTGGCGCCTTCTCCTGCAGCCTCTGCAAAAGGAACCACAGCGCTGGACCGGCCCTCACCACCACCACAGCTGCTGGCCCTCAGCCATTGCAGCCGCTGTGGCTTTGCCTGGAAGGATGTCCGGAAGACGTCTGGTCCAATTAGCATATTACCCTTTTATTAGTATAGATAGGTTATGGTCTGTTTTCTCCCACAAGACTGTCAACTCCATATGAGTGAGGACTTTTTTTTGCTC